TTTTTTTTTTTTTTTTGGTAAATTGCTCATGAGATGCATGACAATCAAAATAGTGAACAAATTATTGCAGGTCACCAAATAAGCAACAGGTTTAGGGTTTTACGAGTTAATTTATTCACTTTTATCTCATATTTAAAATTTAATTCAATTTTAACTCAATCTCAATATTTTTAATATTATTCATATAATTAAATAATATAAATTAATCTTTTTTATACATTACATCAACTTTAATTCACTATTCATTCACTCACATAATTTTAACTACCTATCATTTTCAATCATTTATCTCGTACTTTTACATCAAACCAATTTTAATTATTTTATTTAAATATTATTTAAATACATTTTTAAAATTCCACAAACAACTAACTATACCACATTTTCTAAAATTAACTATAGGTAACCAAAATAACTCGTTTTAAACAAATTATTTCATAACAATCAAGCCCTTATTCTTTATGCACCTGAATGAATCATAATAATATTAGAGTCTAAAATACAATAATATAATAAACAAAAGGGGAAACGAATTCTTTTAACTCTGGACTTCACACCTCTTTCTTTTCACATGGAAGAAATTGGCAGTAGAAAATGAAAAATTATTACCCCAAAAAAATTCCAAAAATAAAAATAAAAAATCCTTCCTCGTAACTGATAGTTGAGAAGATATGGAAGCCAACTTCGCGGGCGACCATATGGCGGCACTTGCGTCTTCTTCCGCATTAGGACTTCAAAGAATATTGTCACCTCCCCAAGGTTCGGGTGCGTGGCTTAATCACGACCTCCAAGGGGTGGCTCACCCTTGTCGCGTGCTAGTTTTATAGAATCCGGGCCTCTGACCTCTATTTTTGTACCAAAAAAAAAAAAGATAATTGAGAAAATATAGCCCGAAAACTAATGGGCTGGCTGGGCTTTAAAAACCAAAGTTATCCCTTTCGAATTGGACTATGAAATGTTTATTGGTTGTATTATAGCATTTCATAGATTAATTAATAAGTATATTAATTTAAACTAACTCAATACTTCAATTAATTTTGTCATGGACTCATGGTGGTATCTTGTTAGATTTTTGTAAGGTTTGTAAACATAATGAGGTATATGCTGGATTCTTCCTTTTTTTTTTTTCTTTTTTTTTTCTTCTTTTGAAACATGGGTTCTTAGACATTAATTTTACATGAGTATAATCTTATAAATTGAAAACTCAAGAATCTTTTGCAGCTTAATTGATGCTACAAATTGAGATGGATTGTATTGAAGAAGTGTACCATTGAAATGAGTACAAATTCAAGATCCTCTTAAATGATCTAATGAACTATTTAAATGTGTATAAATTCAAGATTTCTTATACGAAGCACAATTCACTGGGACACACAAATGATGGGAATCAAGATTGAACATATTATTATAATATGATACTCTTCAAAATTATTACTTAATACATTGGAATAGGATACTTTTTTAGTTTTTAGGGGTGAACAAATTTCAAATTTACTATGTACAAAATTTGCATCAAGTAACATAGCAATGCCTCATCAATTCATCACTCACATGGCTCCAATGTGGGACAGCCCCACATGGAGCTGTCCCATTGGTTGTTGGCTCTATAACGGAGCCAACAATTGACTCCTTAGCATTACTGTCGTATTCATTTTACTAGTGTTAAACCCGTGCGATGCACGGGAGAATATGGTTCAATAACAATTTTTTTAGTAAGTTAATTAATTAAAAATTCTATTATAAATAGATTGATGGTATGATCGGTCTGAGTAGTATTCACAAACTAATATTTTTAAACCAAGAGCACTGCTTATAGTACAAAATAGAGTTTTTCATTTATTGGAACATAATAAGCCGACATGTGTGTTAAGAAATCACAAGTGGTAACTGATGTCACGTGAATTTGAAAGTTATTACAGATAAAGAAGAAATAACATATCACATATAGTTCAAAAAATACAACATATTTAAATAAGCTATTAAATATTGAAATAAAAAAAAAAAATCAGTACAAGTCAACCTCATTATATTTTGATATTACTAAAAACTTCCTTATACACAACATTTTCAATATGAGTCTTAGAAGCTTGATCTCCACACACTAAGATTTTTAACCCACTACGATTAGTTACACGTGATACGGCCACATACAACTGTCCATGACTTAATACAGAATTTTTTAAAAACAGGCCGACATGTGTTAGCGACTGATCTTGACTCTTGTTTATAGTCATCGCATATGAGACCATAAGTGGAAACTGTCGCTGCTTGAACTCGAAAGGTATTCGTAGATCGGAAGGAGTGAGCGTCAGCCGTGGGATCAAGACCTTCTCCCCGGACTTGGCACCAGTAAGTATCTTACACTCGAGCACATGAGTAGATAGCTTTGTCACGACCAAACGTGTTCTATTGCACAAACCCATGGAATGGTCAATTTTTCTTAGCAACATAACTGGAGTGCCCACTTTCAAGTGCAACGCATGGTTCGATGCACCAGAACATTTGATTGAGTTGAGAAATTCAGGTGTATGCAAATCATGCAACAAACCAACATTAGAGTCTGATTTGCATGTGCTATCTGAACTCAAATAAGTATGCCCATCTGATAAGTTCAATGATGTCATGTACTCATTAATAGTCTCGACAACATCAAGGGTAGGAGCCAATATCTCTCTATCCTTCAAATAACTCGGATCATGCATGTTGTCTTTATACATCGGAAAGGTGCTTTCCAATATAGTCGCGATCGGATCGCCAGAGCTCCTCAAAAGAACATCTTCTGGAATGTCAATAGTCGCACAACCATCCTTTGAATCACCTATTGTTCCGTCACCAATACTTGCAATCCATTCAGAAAACTTTCTAAGCTCCTCACGTTCACCTACCAAACCAGCACTTTGCAATCGCATGTTTTTAGTAAGACACAAAACAATACAATCCGCCCATAATTCTGATGCATTTATGGTTGCATTAACAATATCTTGACGATTACCTTTAGGAACCACAGGCAATATTTGGTGAAAATCCCCACCAAAGACAACACTTTTACCTCCAAATGACCTGAATGCATTAGATGGGTGCACATACTGCATGACAGACTTCAAAGTTTTGTTGACAGCTTCAAAACAATTCTTGTTCATCATTGGTGCTTCATCCCAAATGATTAGCCTGCATCTTATAATCAACTCGGCAAGCGGACCGTCTTGGTCAATAGAACAAGTCGAGCCCTCATATGGATTTAATGGAATAGAAAAGCGTGAGTGGGCAATTCGTCCACCGGGCAACAAAAATGATGCAATACCGCTCGATGCCACATTAAGCACAATATCACCCTGTGATCTAAATTTTGCTGAGAGTGTTCTCCAAACATAAGTCTTGCCTGTGCCACCATACCCATAGACAAAGAACATACCACCTTTACCAGACTCCACAGATTTTACAATCTTCGAATATACATCTTTTTGTTCATCAGTCATACTGGAAAGAAGATTGTTATGCTCCAAGGTAAGAGCGACTCGATCGTAGCTGAAATCATCAAGTATAAGTCTATTTTGATCAGGGTCAATGGCTTGATCATCAGGAAAGAGCATTCCTTCACAATCTCATAGACTTCTACCACATCTGCGCAATATTTTTTCAATTTCAGCAAGAGCGGCATTCTTAATTTCATCATCAGTCATGGTTAAATCTATTATGTAAAATAAATTAACCAAAATGTTACCAAACTATTTAACACATTAAAAGGATACCAACAATAATTATTGTATAAAAGCATTTAAACTAAATAATATAAAATCACATTTCGTTCCAAAAGAAAGCAAGAACACAAAGAAAAAACTGGAATGATGCAGATATTTAAATAAAACTCAGTACTATAGCTGAAATGCAATTGCCTTTGAGATTTTTTAGAGCTAGCTACTTTTATCTAACAAATCACATTTCAAAACACATAAATAAATTTAACTAAATTTATCACGGTTTATATAGAAATATCCCAATTCACTCGCAAATAGTTCAATAACTGGTCATTAAATTAATAATTTTATATATAAACTCTCAGGTCCAATTAAATTAATACAAAAATTATTTTTCTACAATATTTGACACCACTTTTTTCTAGCAGATACAAAAATAAAAATAAGAAAGAAAAAACAAAATGAAAAAGATAGTAAATCACTTCCTGTAGCATTTGACTACTATTTTTCTTTTTTCTTTTTTTTTTTAATCTTTCGCTTATATTTTTCTTTTTCCTTTTTTTTTTTCTTTCCCTATATTTTGTAAAATCATGTTTAGTATGGTCCTAATTAATCACCTATTTGCCAAGCATGATGTTTTCCTGGCAATATATTTAGTGTTCACACAAAAAGTTTACACCTTAAACTAAATAATAAATAATAAATAAAAAAACTTAATTACCTTGATTTCGAAAAAGTTACGCCGTTTGTAGAGAATATCATCTGATAAGTAATTCCAACACTTATCATCTGAAATATATCTTTCTGCGATCGTAGTGTATATCTTATTCAAGATTTATATAATCACATCATAGTAAAAATAGTAATGTGTATATTAATTAATAAATAAATTATAATTTACGTAAAGCTGACAATAAAATTTTTGTTAATTTCAAAATATTATTGAAACATATATGTTGAATAAAATATTTGCTAATTTCAAAATATATAATATATATATTATGTCATATGCGTTTTTCTTTCATGTACTAATATATAGATAGATTATCATATGCATGTGTATATTGTTGTACTAATATATATAGATAGATATTTAATTTGACAGATTTACGGGATCGATGATTATAGATAGATTATCATATGCGTGTGTATATTGATGTACTAATATATAGATAGATATTATAGCAGATTTATGGGATCAATAATCAATAAATCATCATTAAATCAATAAAAGTTAATAGGATCAATATATCATTAACAATCTTTACCTACAATAAATATTTCCAATTTTAGCCGAAAATTTTTGAGAGGGAAAAATTCATCTATTTTTGGCAAAATGGTTTCGTCCATTATATAGATATAGATATAGATTTCAGAGTTAAGGCAAATGACTAACGCTCAAGCGAATTATAGACACACTCAACATAATCAACATCAGAAAAATAATTGAAAAAAAAAAAAAANNNAAAAAAAAAAAAAAAATGCTGAAGAATTGAGATATTTCCTCATGATTTTTGAGCTTCCGGCCCTATAATCCCATTCACGACAGACGTGGCGACCAGTACTCCGATCGTCTCCGCTCCGGCGACGGCTCCGGCCTGCGCCAGGCCCCCAAAGCTCACCGCCTCCTCGATTCCCTTCTCTGCCGACTCGATCCCTTTCTCCGCCGTCACGACCCCCTCCTCGGCCGCCTCGATCCCCTTCTCCGCCGCTACGATTCCCTTGTCCACCGCCTCAAACCCTTCCTTAACGATCTGCTCCGCTTCCTCCTCCGCCTTGCGCAGGCCCCGCCGCAGCCCGAAGAGCGGTATGTCCTGCGCTCCAGCGGGCATCTCCACCGCCGTCAGCGCCGCCGTGGCGGTCGTGAGCAGCACCAGGCAGTACCTCCGCGTTGGAAGCGCCACCGGCGCGTGTTTTCTAGCGTGAGCCGGTTGAGGAGAAGGGTGCGCGGGGAGAGCTGGGGCGGCGATTGATGAGGTTGTGGAAGCCATAGCTTTGCTTTGCAAAAAGCAAAAGTGAGGTTCACTTACATTTTGAGGGATTTCGTTTGGATGTTGGTTTTGTGGCCTGAATTTAGCACGGCTTCTTGGACTGGAATTACCAAAAGCCCTGACCCGTAAAAACCCAAAGAAATTAATAATAATAATAATAATAATAATAATAATAATAATAATAATAATAATAATAATAATAATAATAATAATAATAATAATAATTTTTAGCAGTGTAATATACTGAAAAACTACAATAAAAAATTACATCAACATATGATAATTGATGTACAAGGATAATAATATAGTCATATTATCATATACCGGTTCAAATACTGGTTGACCGCATGACGTTCACATATGTCGATGTCCTTAAGTCGACTTCATGAAGGTCGACTTCTCACACAAAAAGGGCCCAAGGAGGGAACCTCCTCCAACAAGCCAGTTTCCAAGACGATTTATCTAAGTCGACTTGAAAAGTCGACCGACATTAAAGAGGACGAGCAAGCGTAGAGTAGAGCCTCCAAATATATTCTCAGATATGTCTTAAGTCGAATGGGAAATATCCAAGGTCGACTCCCTGCGCCTCGAGGCATAAAACGCTCAGACGACTCATAGTACTTCCTCATGACTTAACATGAAGGGAATCTTTATGAGATAAGAAGGAATCTGAATGCTCACCTAGAGGTAAATGAGATGCGAACCGACCAGGGCATTTTGGACATTTCATGTAACTCGGCCGGGGCATTTTGGGTATCTTAAGTAGGTATTTCCTTCTATATAAAAGGGTTAAGGTAACCTGAAACCCTAACTTTCACTCTCATTACTCATTCTCCATATCTGCAGCTGCTCTCAACAGCTCTTCTCTCTCTTCTTTATAAGCTCTTCACCGAAAACACCTCCGGTGTTGAGTTCTTGTAGGTGTTTCTCGACGGTTCAAAACGATCGGAGCTCACAACCACCTGTTCAGTCCAAATCCAGGAGGAGACCCATCAGATAATATTTATAATGTATAATCATTTAATATGTGTATATTATTGAAAATTTTATAGTTTTAAGTATTTGATAGAAATATATGTTTACGTGCTATCAATAATTTACATAATAATTTATAAAGAATTTATTACTTTATCCTTTTAATATTACATATTTTATATTTAGAGCAATTATTTACATACATTTATGCAATTAAATCTGAATTATAAAATAATAATAATAAGGTAGCATGATTATTATTATTTTCTTACAAAAGCACAATTTTGAAAAATAAAAAAGTGATAAGCACCGTAATTAACAAATATATTATTTTCAAAAATATATAAAAAAAGATATATATTTCTTTTTTTAGCAAGTATACATATTGATAATCTGTTTATGTTAAAAAAAAAATCAAAATCATATGGAAAATTTGTTAGTTAACTACAAAATCGCTCAACCAAAATGATTATATCACGAATGCCAAAAACGAATCAATAGATAAAGCTCTCAAACAAGAGTATTTACTAGACGTGATGTCAATTGACATCATCGCATCAAACATAAGTTCAATTTAGTGTGGTTCGATTCATTTTTCTCTAGAATAAGACGTCATTGCTATTGTAATATAGATTGTTAATGTGTAATATCGATCAGACCCGGCCCTGATCCAAGGCGACCTGGGCAACGGCCCAGGGCCCAACTGACGAAAGGGGCACCAAGGCCGAACTGAAGCTATATGATATATGTATGTAAGAGGCCTAATAAAAGTGTTTAAAAACTAATACAATGGACCATTAAAATATAAAAAAAAAGCCCCACTACAATTAAAGCTAAAGTACATGTACAGTTTATTTGCACCGTTGTCATATTGATGAGTTTTCAAACTTAATGGCACTTACATTTAATAAATTTTAACTAATTACAATTTCGTGAAATCATATTAATTAAATCTAATTACTTAACTACAAGTTATATAGAAAGTGAAATCAAATCAAAACAATACTCTTTTTTCTCTCTCATAATTCAATAAATTGTGCTAATTACTCATAGTAATTAAAGCATTATTTTTTTTATATATATTTTGTTTTCTTAACTAATAGAAAACCACTCAAATAATATTCTACATGATCAATAAATAAATTACATGCTATTAAAAAATATAGATCTTTTTATATTTTGCATTAAACAAAAATTATATAAAAGAACAATATATTACTATGGTATGAGAAATTGTTAAGTTCATACATATAATTTTCATGGATTTTTAATTCAATTATAATTGTAAAAGAAATTATTGAGCCTATGCACATGCATATAGTTTTGATTTATGTTTTGTATTTTACTATTGTTTTATGGTATTTTGAGTTCTTTGTACGTATATATTTGGTTTATTTTGATTCTTTGTTATCTAATATCTTTCTACCATTGTTCGGCCCATAATCATATATATAGTTTATTTTCTATTTAATTGTTGTTTGTCGTTTTCTAGAGTTAATTCTCGCACATATTACCTTGAGTTTTGTTTTTTTTAAATAAAAAAATAAAAAGCCTCAAAAATGAATTCAGCCGACAATTGATTGTTTTCCTTTGAGAGTCTATACCTTTTATTTCAAATATAAATTCCCTCATTTTATAGGAAAAATTTTGTTGAATAATTATTGATATTATATAGAGTCCATCATTTTGTTTTAGAATTCAGGAAACAATGGGGCATTATTTTGTATTTGGCTCAGGGCCAAATAATAGCCAGGGCCGACTCTGATATCGATATGTAAGACAGACAAAGAGAGAAAGCACGGTAGAAGATAATATTTAATTTTGCCGGTATTTTACCTTTTCAACAATGTTCCTATACAAATATTTAATAATTTCCCGTTACTTTGTCTCCATTAATTAGTAGTGTCCCCATTTTATTCACTGGGGCAAAAAAATCCAATTGGAACAAACACATATAAACAAACAAACCAACGATTTTTTCTTGGGCAGTCTTTGGGGTAGTGATCAAATAATGCAGATGAGACCAAAATGAATTGATGATTTTGATGTCGATGAGATGTTATAAAATTATGATTTCATATAGCTAACATAATTTGCGGAATTACAGACATTAACTAACAGCATCAAAATCAGTTAAATTAAGCAGTCCAAGGACAATTGGGGGTAATTATAAGTCATTCTGGATTCAGGTTTTACTGGAACGAGCCAAATTAGAGTTGTAAACGAAGCAAACCGGTTTTGCGAATACTTTATATTCTACTGGATAAAAGCTCGTTTGAGTTTATCTGTCATGCTTTTTTAAAATTTATAAACCAAATTCCCGAACCGGTGGAATATGACTCTCGGCGGTTTTGCGAATACTTTATATTCTACTAGATAAAAGCTCGTTTGAGTTGATTTCATTACATGTTGTCGTCAATTTACTATTTGTTGTTGTCAATCCAACAGTGGAATCTGACTGTTGGCGCCGAATCCGGTTCTGAACTGACTCTTCCCAAACCGTTTACAATAATAGGTTGTTGGATCTCCAATAGTAAAAGAGATTCAATAGTCCATATTTAACCTGACGCAGGGTCCGATATAAAACGCAACACGACACGAAACCAAAATTGGAAGAAAAAAACAAAAGAAAATCAAAATACTGGCGGGCCTCCGAACCGATTTTGAACCAAATCGACGATCTACAATATTGTTATTTTGTGAACCCAAACCGGCTCGATAAAACTACGGGCCAATTCATGCCCATGATCAACTGACAGATTCCGGGCCTATTCGGCAGGTGCACACACATATATTATATATACATTGGTGAATGCACATTGACCAATCAAGTCAATGTACAAGTAGTTTTTTCATGTGGGGAATGGTTATTAAATTATGATAGAATGTAGTAAAATTTATTTTTTTTTTATTTTTTTTCCGGTAGTCAGTCACGGTATCCGAAACTATGCTCCGACTAATTCGTTGGTCGACCCGGATCGCACACTGACAATAGTTGGTGAATCTAGTAAAATTTATTCACCTAGTGCTGGGTACCTTAATTTAAAATTAGTCTTAAACACTTAATTAATCACGGGGTTCGTGCACTTTTTGTATTGTTATGCTCTGATCCTCGCGCATTTCCTTCCCCAACCCACTGTTTACCACTAATCTTTCCAATAATTAAACATTTGTCAATTTTGAGAGTATTTTTTTAAAATGATTATGACCGTGATTAGGATGTCCACTAATTATAATTAGCAAGTGGCGAGCAACTATTCGTCGTGTTGTGTCATCTTAACCCGTGTTCCCCGCCCGAGTTGTTGTTTCAAGTTTTCTTGTACTAACGTTAATAAATGCTTTCTTCTTTTTTTTTTTATTAAATTAATTTTATAAAAATATAATTCAAAATTTGTATTCAATATTTATATTAATAATATTATCTTGTTATTTATACTTCTACAATAATAACAGATAATATGAATTTAATATTCTATTGTATTACTAAATATATCATAATAATGATAATAATGGTGATTCGTATAATACTTAAATAATTACAGTATAATGTATAATTGAGTATATATGACATAAAAAAATCAATGCATTTAATTAATATTTGGATTGTGTATTGATCATATAATATTTTAAATTGTATTTTTATGCTATCTAATAACAGACTAGGAATATCATCTGGGCATAAAATTCATTGCTTATTCACACCTTCAAAAGGTCTAAAATACTGTCATGATTTCGAGAGTATGAATTCTTCACATTTCATTTATCTTTCATTATGTTTAATTGGTTGTAATATTGATAAACGAGGAGTTCGAACTTGGTTAAAAATTCCTCATTTTGAGCCTTAAGGAGTCGAGGCCAGTAGCGTAGCCAGAAATATTTTCTATATTGGGCTGCTAGAACCAATTTGGTATACATGGGCTACAAAATATTTTTCTAGTACTACATATTTAAATAAATCAAAAAATTAAGACTGGGCTGGAGCCCGGGTGAGCCACCCTCTGGCTACGCCCCTGATCGAGGCCAAT